GTGAATAAGGAATTATGCTGTGCAACATAACTTTGCCTTGAATGCCTTGATTTTTGAACTGGCATATGTCCCAATATAACAGGAACTCTCAAAGGAAAGGTTTACAGTCTAAGTACTATGTTAACCATGGTGAAATGAGTCAGAGCTAAACATTCTGAACCTTGGAATCTGGCACCTGGTTCCTGGGCTGTGGTGGAGTGTGTAGAGAGGAAAGTAAGAGAGTATCTCCGTGGTTCTTTCATGTTTCTGCGTATCTTGGGAGAAGAGTGCTTTGCCCCAGATTATCTTTTTAAGGATATTTGTATAGAAAGCAGCCTTAGAAGATAGAGATGGTATCTCCTTCCAGAGGAAGAGGCAGATTTGCTTACTGTCTGGGGTAATAAAGATAATGTCTCCCTCCAGGGCATAGTCAGGTATGCTTACTGCCCACTATAAAAGATTTGGGTTCCCAAGTTCTGAGTTCATCTCCTGGAGTGCAACCTACTGCACATGCAGGTATCATCTGGCCCTCTTTGTGAGAACTTGGGCTCGGAGACTCTGCATAATGTATGCTGACTTTCATGCTAGTTTCTGTGCCATGAGTAATGAAGTTCTTTGACTCTGACAAAGGAGTCTCACATCTACTGCAAGCATCCATAGACCCCCTGTAAAGTAAAGCTCAGATCCTTCACAGTTCTTGACAGTTTGGTAGTGAATATGATACTGACAAAGACATGCTTTCTGGAAGAGGAAAAATTAGTGCCACAGGGCAATTAATGGTATCTGAGGGAGGTCCATAGGACTCAGTAGTAAACATATTGACCAAATTGTATGGCCAGCCTGTCAGTAAATGGTGTTCTGTTTTATTACTTATGAATGAGGAAACGTTAGGAGGGTGGTTGTAGGCCAAGTATCAGGAAGTTGGTTCAGAGATAGATGCGTGAATGGTGCCCTGGTTGCTGCTAATTTTTCTCCTAAGGTGGAGGGTGAGGATTCCTTGACAATCTGGTAGTCAGTCTCAGGTCTGCCCCATTGTCACCCAGACAACTAACATTAAGGGTCATCCTGAGTAGGCAGATGTTTCCAATCCATTTCAGACAATAACTAAAGAATGTACACTACACTGGCTGAAAGAAGGAAAATTAATGAATAGTATGGACAGGACGCAGACAAAGTTTAGAACGTTGGCTGGTTTACTTGAGACATGAGGAAATGAGAGGCAGGGGACTTAATTGCTTGTTAAGGAGGAATGCAACAGCCAGGCAGGCTCATAGCTCAGCCCCACCCACAGTCTAGTATGACTAACTTAGATCCATTAGAATTGACAGCAAAAGGTCACAAAGGTCTTTTTGTTGTCGTTTTCTGTTTGTTTGTTGCAGTGGTTCATGGCTGTTATAAGGGAGATATGGCCCTTTTACAGAGATTTCCCTGAGACAGACGAGCTCCCTTGAGAAACCCCAGATGAGGCATTGACTAAACTTTGGACTCTTATTGCCCTGATTGACTTAACAATACCAGTGGAGTGTTGGAGTTCACCCCACTGGAGAATTAGAAACCCACTCAAAGACATGTAGATAAATTGTTGCAGTCAGCCTTGACACCATAGAAAACTCTCCTAGCCTTTATGTTGAAATTGAGTAAGCACTTAAGGTATACTGTTTTGATAATGGGATAGCAAATGGTGTAGATTAAGGTAGATTCCTTTTAAAAAGAAGACTTCTATGTGAGTTAAGCCCAAGTCAAGCAAGGAATACAAACCTCAGGGTCACAGTCTCAAAGCAATTTGTCTATGGCTGCTCAAAGGCTATTTGTCCATGGCTGAATCAAAGGGCCCCCAGATCTGTAATATAGGTGCCAGCAATGCTGACTTTGCTGCCCCATATAGGCCTTTGGTGGGCCAATAACATTGGAAGTTTGTTTGGTTGAGCCATGAACAGCCACCATGTTGCTGGAGACCTAAGGTAAATGTGCTTTATTTAATAGCCTAGTTCCACTATCACCCTGCACATTCCCTGTTCCCTCTCTCCTTCTCTAACCTTACACAACTGCTTTAAAAAGAAAGATAATTAGGGGGAACTTCCTTATCCCGAAGGGAAACTGAAGTCCATACATACCCATCCTAGTAATCTGGGGAAATTTGGAGAGGGTAAGGACTCAAATTTTTATAGCTCTGTTTGGTATAGGGAGAAAGTTACTATCCTATACAATCCCATGGGGGGAAGGGACACTCAAATTCAACTGATAGGCTTTGGGCAAGGTTTGCAGTGGGGAAAAGAAGTTAACAGTGATCTTGTATGGGTGTGACGCTTTGAGTTAATTTAATGTAGTATTGTCGTGACCTCCCTTGCTGAATATATAATTGACACTGATGTTTCACATGATGATACTGAGAATGTTCATAAAGTCTAGGGGGACTTATCTGATCAAAAAGATCTACATCTGGGGCTTCCCTGGTGGTGCAGTGGTTGAGAATCTGCCTGCCAATGCAGGGGACACGGGTTCGAGCCCTGGTCTGGGAAGATCCCACATGCCGTGGAGCAACTGGGCCCGTGAGCCACAGTTACTGAGCCTGCGCGTCTGGAGCCTGTGCTCCACAACAAGAGAGGCCGCGATAGTGAGAGGCACGCGCACCGCGATGAAGAGTGGCCCCCACTTGCCACAACTAGAGAAAGCCCTCACACAGAAATGAAGACCCAACACAGCCATAAATAAATTAATTAAAAAAGAAAAAAAAAGATCTACATCTGGAGAAGTGCTGGGGGACACATGAAATACTTCTTAATCCATTTCTCTGTCATCCCTGCAGCCTAAAGCAAAGCTTTTGGCTGAATTGAACCCTGAATTCACAGAATTTCCCCTAAATATCTGGGCCTGGTTCTTTGAACAATTCAGCGGAGCAGAAGCCTGGTGGTGTCCACTGGGGTATTGTGGCTCTTCAACCTCAGCGCCAGCTGTACAGAATCAAAGATATCTGTGGTTTTTCCTTTTAGTGTGGCAGTTCTCATAGCTCTAGCTATTACAGCCCTTGCTGAACCTAGTTATAGTTTTAATGAATCTTGGGCTATTGCCAAGTAGCCTAGATGTTTAGTCTGCCACTTGGGAAACTATAATCCAGCAGATTATAAGCATCTTCCTGGCAGATTGGCTATATCTAGCCTTTGGTCCCTTTTCAGGGTTTTTAGTGGTGCCTCACCATCACTGACACCTTTTCAGATTATGATGTTGCTGTTCTAGTCCAATCAGCCAACTGGCCACTAACAGGTATCAGGGTTTCAGCTTTCCAGTCCACTTGAAGTTTGAAAATCATGCAACAGCCAGTGAACAAGAGGATAATACTCAAGGTTTTGATGGTCTTCCATGTACTCTGCCATTCACAATCATCTGGTATTGCTGAGTGTTGGAACAGTCTCATAAAACATTGACTTCAGAAGCTTTCTGACTCTCCCTTACCTTGTCCTGGTCCACACTGTTCAGAAAGACAGTTTGGTCACTGAATATGACTTTCTACAAAAGTGGATCATCTTCTCTGGCCACTTCCTGTATAATGATCATAATGATCAGGGCAAAATGAGGGGGGTATGTAGAACTATTTTGATAATTCTGGAGTATGAGTCATTACTGGGCATGATGAATTTTTCTTCTCTCTAAAAGCAACCCCAGGCAAGAGATGGTAAGACACTGTAATAGAACCTAGCAGTGGGGGTGGCAATGATGGGATGATTTTGAGAGACGTATCAGAAGGAACATTAACAGGATATGATATATCTTTGGATGCCACTATGTCAGGCAGGGATGAAAGGAAATTGTGAAAGAGAAGATGTTAAAGATGATACCCAGGTCAATTGTGATATCTTATTTAAGAGGTGGAATCTGGGAGAGGGAGTGGGCCTGGATTAGGTTCCCACTGAATAATGACCTTCTTTAAGAACATGTTGAACAAACAAGTGGATATGTCCTATAGTTTTAAAGCTGAAGAGTGAGTTCTGGGCTGGAAGTGTAGATTTGGGAGCTGTTGATACAAAGAAAAGATTTTAAATTATGGTACAGAATGAGATTTCCCAGAGAGAGTATATGAAATATGACAAAAATTCTGAAGATGGAAATGTACAAAGCAACATTTTTTGTGGTCAGCAAAAGAAGTTTAGACAATGAAAGTAGGGATATTGTATTTAGAAAGAACTCTTTTAGAAAGTGACTCTTAAAATGAATGACTCTTCTTATTCCGAAGAAGAGGGAAGATAATCCTTGGAGAAGTACAACTCTTATTGACACACATAACTTTATTATATTAAATCATTGTTTCCATGGACATTTTGAAAAACTCAGTGATATTTAGATATTTAGGGTGAAAAAAATGTAGTGAGGAGTATAGATTATATATATTTTTTAACTGTTAAAGTACAACACATTTCTTTTGTAATGAAAATACTAAAAATAAAACTCTATAATCTTTCTGGCAAGAAGAAATGTTCAGAAGACAGTGATTCTCAAGATAAGTGACTGAAGGAAGATGTGATATATTTATCTTCCTAAAAAAAGATGGCATAGCTTTTTAAATGTCTTGATACCTGTCTGACAGGAGGGGAAATCCATTGACCATGCTCATCCAACCACGGATGAGTGCTTTTTCCTCAGCCACTCTGGTTCTCTGGGCCAGATGGGAAGAGAGCTAAGAATGCAGATGTGTACAACTCATCCCTAGCTCAGGCATGTCAGAATCTATTTTAATTCCTCTTTAAAAATAACAGTTCTTTTTAAAAATAAATCATAAAGGCCAGTAATAAAGAATATTCTAGAGAAGTGCCAAATATGATGGTTGTTACATTTGCCATTCTTTGCCCTGCTAAAAAACGGAAAAAGTATTATGTTTGATATAGGATTTGAAAGACTGCTTCTTTATTTCAAGCATTTGGAAATATTATGGAAAGGAGTCCTTGAAAATACAATAAAAGACAACAAAACATATCAAAGAATTAATTGTAAAATATCGACCCTCTCACACTCTGCTTTTCCATCCTTAGCCCCCTTCCATCACCCCTAGCATCTTATAGAATTGAAAATCAGAACAAAGGGATGAGAAGAGACAAACAACACAGGACCTGACACATGTGTGAAGAATGACAGGTAAAGTGGTCTTCTGTGTTATTTGGAGGAAGGTTCATTACAGAATGGTAATTAAAATTATCCCTCACACTGGTAAGTTAGAAGCGGGGCATACTACTTCTCCGAAATATTTCATAGACGACTAAGCCTTATCCCTCCTGTGCTCTCCTGACAATTTGTGCCATATTCCCAAATTCCCTCCTCATCAAGAGAAGCGCAAGTCATTTTCCAGACCTAATTCTTTGTGCTTGTTATTGCCTTAAAAGGGATGTGCTGTGAGACTATACATTTTAAGGACACGGGAGGCTCACTGTGTAATCTATGCACCACATGAAGGATTTATAAAATAAAAGACTATTTATAGATTATGATCTAAACTCTCATCACGTTCTTTTCCTTCATAGAGAATCCCACTTGGATTTCTCTCTTTTCTCCCTTCCTTGCTAATTGAATCTTCCTTTTTTAATGTTTCTTTTCTTTGTCTTGTCTTTGCTTTCTTTGAAGAGAAAGTTAGGTTTTTATTCTCATTTTATCCCTTTTCATCTTGTTTTCTGCTGTATAGATGATCTGTTGTTTTGTACCTCACCGCTAAGTTGGGAAATTCTCCATATTATTTAATGAACTAACTACAATTCTTCTGACTTTAATTTGGTCAATTACAACTTATTATGTTTGGTTACCTCGAGTTCCTAGACTGACATAAATTGTGTCACTTCTAGCAGCTACAAATGCCATTGAAAATAAAAATTTGGTGTCGTTCCAATCAGTCAGCTCTCCCTTCTCCTTTTTAATTATTTATTTTATTTTTAAGGCTTAAAGTTCTGTCATTATGAAGAGGGTTGTTCATTATTCCAAAAACTGCTAAGAACAGGATTGCTACCCAAGCAGAAGAGAATCTGTTTTAAGTGGTGAGGCATTTGGGTTGATTGTGGAAGAAAAAGGTGCCTCACACTTTCCCTTCACTGGTAGAAATGCTTTATTTTAGACTTCTCAGACCTGGTCCTTATTCACATTATTCTCAAAATAGAATGTAGTGACATTTATAAAAGGACAGATGAATTCTTTGTGTTTTTTCTAACTAAATGCTTTAAAATTTAAACACTTCATGAAAAAAAGATTAAAAGAGTATATCTATTAACACTAATATACTCAAATTAGTGGATTCAGGTCTGTAGAATGTTAAAACAATAAGATTAAGTGTTAAAAGGGTCATTGTAAATATTTATTTAGCCCCACCTACCTATATCACTATAATTGGTATTTCTCTGAGATACAAAGAAAGCAGAATTCAATTTGATTCAACAAATATTTATTAAATTACTATTATGGCCAAGACACTGTGCTAAGTACTGTATGGAATACAAATATAGGAAATGTTGTCTAGTAAAGGCTTGAGTTCAGTACTGTTTATTTTAGACAAGATTTATTGAACAGCTAGGTACTGTGCTAAGTATTAAAAAATACAACACATCTGTAGGTAAAGGAACTTGCAGTCTGGTAAGCTGGCGTTGATAAATCCTTAAAATCATATACAAAATTGTTTGCATAGATGGTGTGTGTGTGTGTGTGTGTGTACATTTATGGTTTTTCTGAGGGGCACTATCTGCTGGATTCTCAAAAAGTTCAGTGACCCCTCAAATGTTAAAGTTCATGTATGCAATACAGGGTAGACTCTCAGAGCTATAAGAGTGATCAAACAAAGGACTCTTTCTGACCTGGTCCTTCAATTGCCAACTGCCTACATGGTGCTTGGGACTAAGCTATGTGCTGAGATGACCATTTAACAAAGTATTTTGCAAAGCAAGGGAAGACAAACCTCCAAATCAGAAGGAAATTTTAAAAGCGAGTGCTAAACGCCGTTATTAAATATTACAAGAGAGAAACGAATAGTCACTAAACTTTGGAATAGTGGGAACAGGCTTCTGGATCCCTGAAGGAGTACAGCTCTAAGTGGAGCCTTGAAGGTCATGTAGGGCTTGAGTAACTGGAAGCAAAAGACAATGCATGCTTCGAATGGGCTACAGACAGAGTGAGCAGGAAATGGACAGGGATGTTTTCCCTGATGCTTCCGGATACATCCTCAACTGATGGAGTTCTGGACCCAAACTCTTTGGAGTCCAATTATCCTTCAACCCAGCTCTAAAAGTTGTTGCACCTGTTACACCACTGTTAGTTAGGCCAGAAAGCAGAGATTTTGTGTGCACATATTTATGTACATAAGCACACACATACACACACACATTAACATCACATACATACGTATGTGCAAATATATATATGTTATTATCTTTCACACGGCTCTTTTGATCACAGTTAATAATTAATGTATTTTTGAAGAGTCTACCTTTTGCTAAGCCTTGTGTAAGACCTAAGATGAAAAATATTTCCCATCGTCAAGGAGCAAATGTCCATCAAGTGAAGAAGGAAAAGTAAAGTATTGCAAAGAGAACAGCATAAATAAAGGCCGGGAAGTAGGTAACCTTGCGCCCCTTCTTGACAATGGCAAGTATTTCATTTGAACCATTGTTGAAAGAGGAGTCCATTAGGGAATGAATTTGATGAAGAAAGACCTCATGGAAAACAATGTATATCATGTTCAGAAGCTTAGGATTTAGATAACAGAGAAGCTTTAAAAGGTTTTCACTGGAAGGACAATGTAATTAGATTTAGACTTTAGACAGTCTCTCTGGCAGCAATGTAGACAGTAAGACTAAAGATCTGGACAAATTTGCACAGTATTATAAAAGAATAAGTGATAGGACACACCACATAGTCAATGAAATATTAAACAGAATCAGTAAGATTTGGTTCCATATTAGATGTGGGAAATGAAGGAAATGAGAAATCTAGGATAACTACCAGGTTTAAGGTTTGGGTGACAAAGTAGATGGTGGTTCCACTCAGCAAGGTAGGGAACACAAAAGAGGAGAAAGTATAAACCAGATTAGATAACAGAGAAGGACAGGATGACCTGCCCTAGGAACAGGTTGAGTTTGAGGAAATCTGAGGAAGTGAAGACGTAGTTGTCTGCTTTATAAAATGAAGCTTGAAAAGGGACTTCTAGATCAGGGCTCAGCAAACGAGGACCTGCCCATCACCTGTTTGTGTACCTCCTGTGATGTAAAAATAGTTTTGCCTAATTTAAATGGTTGAAAAAAAATGAAGAAGTGTGACATGTACACACTGCTATATTTAAAATAGATAACCAACAAGGACCTACTGTAAAAAAAATTAATTAATTAATTTAAAAAAGAAGAAGAATATGTTACATTAGTTTTATAGGACTGTCACAACAAAGTACCACAGACTGGATAGCTTAAACAACAGAAATTTATTTTCTCACGGTTCTGGAGGCTGGAAGTCTGAGTTGTCCACACGGTATTGTCAGGGTTGGTTTCTTCCGAGGCCTCTCTCCTGAATTTGTAGGTGGCTGTCTTCTCCTTGTGTTGTCACATGGTCTTCCTTCTATATCATTCTGTCTAAATTTCCTCTTCTTATAAGGGCACAAGTCATAATGGATTAGGGCCCACCATAATGACCTCATTTTAATTACCTCTTTAAAGATTCTATTTACAAATACAGTTACATTCTGAGGTATTAGGAGTTAGGACTACATCCACATTGCATGAAATTCAAATTCCAGTGTTTTATTGGAACATGGCTGTGCTCCTTCATTTACGTTGCCTATGGCTGCTTTTGTGCTACAACAGTGGGGTTGAGTAGTTGTGACAGAGACCGTATGGCCTGCAAAGCCTAAATTCTATACTATCTGGGCCTTTACAGAAAAAGTTTGCATCCTCTACTCTAGATAAAAGATGTGTTGGCAGTTACCAGTTTAGGGCTGGTAATATGAGCGATGAGATTACTAAGGAAGAGTGAGTTGTGTGAAAGGAAAGAGGGCGAAGCATGCACCCTTAAGACACAAACAGGTCAAAGAAGAAAGAAGAAAAGAAGCTACCAGGGTAACGGGGACAGAATGAGCAGAGCTGTCAGAGGAAAAGAGTAGTTGAACTGTGTACACTGTCTTCTTTCTCATGAGAGGGAGCAATGAACAGTGACAAGAAAACAGAAGGGTTCTAGTGTCACGGAAGCCAGCATTTCACATAGACGGAGCTGGTGAATTAAAGCAAACACTATAAAAAGGAGAGGATAATAAGCATTAAAAATGGCTTTTAGATTTATTAATGGTCTATTTGCTTTGGAAATGTCATGTAATAGATAATTTAATATATATTAAATACTTAATTTATTATATATTTAATTATACATAAATTTAATTAATATATATTTAATTTTATAAATGTTTAATATATAAATACTTAATTTAATATTTCTGAAAGGCAGTTTTGCCTTCATAGGGCTTGCAGAATATTCCCAATAAAATAATCAGGTTTCTGTACTGTAACTATTTATATTCTGAAGACACTTCTTGTGAAATTATCTCTAGAATAATACTTTAACCAGTGAGTAAAGGGAGATAAAAAGAACAATTTCAAATACATTCTAAAATCAGTTATTGTGTACACATTTTAAAAAGTGAAATTTTCAAATATTTCTGCATATATGTCAAACTTACCAGAAAAACACCAAATTTCCATTTCACTTTATGCTGAGAAAATTATTGTACTTTGAAATTTACTCCTTTCATGTTACTATCAAATCTGTAACTATTCCTCCTTAAAGCAAGCCACTTTCATATAAAGAATGGATATTACTAACCTTCCATATTTTGTACTATTTTATATTTGGTGCCTTGAAAGAAGTTATTCAAAAAGAATAGCACTGAGAACTTTATCAAAGTTCAAAACAGGTATTTGAATAGAAAAGTGAGCCATAATCATGAACCAGTGGTTTCAAAATTATGATTAGATCAAAACAGATGCACTGTTTCTATGAGTTGTTAAGACCAGTGCAGAGGACCTATGTATGCTTATAAGCATTACTTGCTATCAACAAGAAATTAGCTCAAACATATAGATTCAGAGTGCAAGAGCCAAAGCATATTGCAAAAGTACTAAAGAAGGAACTGTCACTAAAATTCAATGCATTAAAGACAAATACGTAATGAACACACAGAATAACTATTGGTTTTTTGAGTGTAATTTTATTACTATTAAATTCTCTTATGCTTCTTATATTTACTCTTGAATCTCGTTTTTCTCTATTAATATTATAATCATCTTTAAATCTGCAGTTTTCTTGAAAGATTTTTGACCCTTTCTACATTTTTTGGAACATTATTTATGTTTCTACCCAAAGTTATTTATTTTCTAATATTTTGCTTTTTAGGAAAGAAAAAATATTTAAAGGAAAAGGTGAAAATTATTCTTGAGAACACATCCATCTGAAGTAAGTACTTTGATGTACATTCTAATATTTGTATTGGGCTGCGTTTTCTATTACCTTATCATTTCAGAAGCAATGGAACAAATTGGTCTGCACATGAGAAAAGTATTTTCATTTGAAAGACCCAATGCTCTATTTAGAAATGGTTCCTGCATAACAAAGTACTGGAAATAGATTTTTTTTAACATCTTTATTGGAGTATAATTGCTGTACAATGTGTGTTAGTTTCTGATTTATAACAAAGTGAATCAGCTATACATACAACCCCATATCTCCTCCCTCTTGCGTCTCCCTCCCACCCTCCCTATCCCACCCCTCTAGGTGGTCACAAAGCACCGAGTTGATCTCTCTGTGCTATGCGGCTGCATCCCACTAGCTATCTGTTTTACATTTGGTAGTATATATTAGTCCATGTCACTCTCTCACTTCGTCCCAGTTACTTAATGTCTTAACACTACCTCTACCTTGAAGAAAGCTTTTGTGTCAGTTCTTTAAAATGTGTTCTCAAAGAAGACTATTTCCTAGAAAACGCGATCATATCTTTTGTCCCAATTTTGTTAAATGGATGCTACATTGATACAACTTTTAGTTGCATTTCACTTTAAGGAAAAAAGAAATGCTCTGGCTGTAGAGGGACCAGAAAAAAAAAGAAGAATGTGTGGTGAAAATATTCTTAATACTGTCTCCCATTCACTTAATTATTTAGATGTTTTGATGAACAAAATCCTATGCTTTGTTGTTCTTAGAATGTGAGATGAGTGTTAAATCCAGCATATACCAAATTCTCCAAAAGGGTAGCAATCATTTTATAACGATGTAGTGACTCTTTGTATGACCAAAATTTACATGCTGGGTGCTCAGCTCATAAAGTGCTTATGGGGAAGTCAAGGCTGAACTCAAACTTCACTGTGGGACCTGCTAGTAACTATCATTTTTTATTCCTAACATATTAGGCAGAGGAGGGAGTTGAAGCCTAACTTTTTTTGTTCAGTCAAAGTGCAGATGGCAGAACGGCTGCATAGTCTTCAGCCTACTTTTGAGTTAATCAAGAGTTAAGTCCAGAAACAAGGGAGAATGAGTAAGTAGTCTTACTTTTTAGCAAGCATCTTTACCATTTGCCAAAGTTTTTCAGAAATAAAATTGATCAATTTCTACATGTGTCACTCAATCATGAACAATCTAGAATTTGACCAAATTTTGTGAGTTACATATTTTTGGTTATTTGTTTGCATGCCTGTTCTCTAACTATACCCCTTCCCTCAACACTCTACACATACATGCAACACTTAGACTGCCAGGTAGCCAAGCAGAAAAAAATATCCCCAGTCTCAGAAGTTTGTTTCCTAAGTTAGACAATATTTTCAACTTTCCTAAAGATGTTCCTTTCATCACTTTTTGGTGAAAATACCGTATGTCCCCATGGCTTGCATAATAGAAAATGTAATCATATACATCTGAGCAAGGTGAAGAATGCCAAGGCAGACCCAGAAGCCAAATTTTGTTATCTTAATCTTCCACACTTAGTTCCAGAAAAAATATTAAAGCTTAAAATAATAGGGTATAAAAGCACTAAAATGTTTCTATTTCATAGAATGTGGAATTGTAGTTTTAAAACCCTTTACAATTTTTTAAAAAGCTACCAATTAAGCTGCTAAAGTTTGGAGGGTTTTTCCTTCACTATAAAAGCCCCCATAATTCAATTTTCATTTGAACAGTCAAGAAATATATACAAAGGATCTGCGTAAATTGTAAGCCTTGCCATTTTTTTCTTTTTTCCATTTACAGCCTCCACCTTTCTCGTCTTCCCCAACCCTATCCTTTAACCTATTCTCTAAGTCACTTTTTGCTGCTGATAATCTTTTCAATTTTGTTATAATTATATATTAACTGGGTCTCCTAAAGTCTGAATGCGTTGTCGCAAAATACTGAATGTAAAGGACTTGATAGGCTGTGAAAAAAGCTATTTCTCTTCCTAAGTAAACTCTGGTTATCATCTTCATCTATTGAAATCAAGTTTCTGTCTATATTGGTTATTGGGTCACAGGAGAATGGCTGGGTGGATTTGAATGGTGTGTTTGGTATGGTATGTACAAGATTCATTTTGGAGCATCCTGGCTGGCGGTGGTGATAAAGGGCATCTCCAAGGGTGGGCAGTCATCTGCAGATTGCTGCTGAAAGTGACCCTTAGGACTGCTATGCAGAAAGAAGACAGTGGTTTCAAATATGAGCCCAAAAGGCAGGGGTTGACTTGCAGTTGGGCTACCTTTCTTGTGGACATTCCCGTAAGTGAGCAGTAGCAAGGACTTCTATATTTAAAGATAGTCTTTGATTATGCCAAGCGATTCTGGAGTGTCCAGCTGGTATATGACAATACCATGTTGTAGCTTTAATTTCTCAAAAATATTATTTATACTCTTACCAAAATGGTATAAATTGATAGCTTTACGTTGTTTCACACTTGGACCAAAATATTTCTGGAAGAGAACCAATGCAAATTTCAAGAGAAGAAATCAAGACCTAAACCAAGCTCAAACTCAATACACTTTTTTCTTTGGTTTTGTTTAGTTTTCCTATATACCAAGTGTCAAGTACTATGCTATATATAGTGAATTGAAAGAAATATTTAAGTTGTAGTACTTGACCTCAAATAACTGACAGTCCTGTGAGGTAAGAAACTATATTTGCCTCATGTAATGCATGATGGAGAAGGGGTTTAGACAGTGTATTATGTCAACACTGAGCAAAGCTGACTAGTCTTTCCTGGATATATAGAAAGCCTTCTTTAAGGTATCTGCTTCCATATATAAAAACCTGCAATTTTAACTGTTTACAAAGCAGACATTCATGCCACTAGAAGTCTGAAAAAATTTTGGCAACATCAAACAAAAAATCTCAATATATAAACGTTCTGATTCATTTTGTTTGACCTAAAACATTAGTCAACAAGTTTTTACACAGAAACTATGTAAATTTACCATTTTTCTCTCTTCTTCCCATTTCCCATGTGCTCTCCCTTTGATCTGCTCCAACATTGTCCAGGGTCGTGTTGCCATAATTCTCTTGCACTTGGTCTTGATCTCCCAAACTAAAAGAAAGGGCAGAGTTGTCCAGGGAGGAAATGGACAACAATGGCATTTGGGGGCAGAGAGGCTACCTGAAATTGTGGCTTTGGAACAGACCAGGAAAGGCTCTGTCTGCCATATATGGAGGTGTTCCCTTGGAGGCTTTATGCAGCACATTGGCAAGATCAGATCTTTATTTCAGAAATATGATTGCAAAGCACAGAGATAAAAGAATAATTTCATTAACACAGAAGAGATAAAACAAGGGTCTAGAGGGCTGTTATAGAAGGATTTCATCATCTCCTTTCAGCCCAAGAGGCTGTGTTAGTTTGCTAGGGCTGCTGTGACAAAGTACTACAAACTGAGTAGTTTAAACAACAGAAACTTATTGTCTCAAAGTTCTGGAGTCTAGAGGTCTGAAATCAAGTTGTTGGCAGGGTCTTTTCCTTCTGAGGGCTGTGAAGGAGAGATCTGATCAAGGCTTCTGTCTTGAATTTATAGATGACTGTCTTTATATTCACATAGTGTTTTCCCTGTGTACATGTCTGTATACGAATTTCCCCTTCTTATAAGGACACCAGTCATAACAGATTAGGGCCCACCCTAGTTGACCTCATTTTAAACCTGACTACCTCTGTAAAGACCCTATATCCAATAAGGTTGTATTTGAGGTCCTGGGGCTTAGGACTTCCACATATGAATTTTGAGAGGGAAACAATCCAACCCAACAGAGGCCAATAGCCAAGGATTAAATAATTTGAAATCACACAGTTAGTCAGGATTAAAATCTAGATCTGTTAACCCCTAGTCCAGGACTCTGTCTGTGATACTAGAGGTGATGCTGGAAAGCTGTCTGTTGCCAGCCAGCATTGTGGTTTCAATAAGGTAGCATATAAAGTGCTGATATTTGTCCATAAGGAATCAGTTATCAGCAAAGAGATTGACTAATGTCTTGAGAAAACTTTAAATTAGAATACTGTTTTTGGAAACCAAATTGATTTTTTAATAGAATTTAGAAAGCAAAGTTACTCCTCTTAAAGCAAACATCAGGAGGTAATTCAAAGTACTACCCCCAAGCCCTACTCATGCAGTATTACTCAGCATTATCCAGTGGTGCTTTCAAACAAATCCCAGGAGCACAGTTTGTGAAAAATTAAATGCAATAGTGTGTTTTTACTGGTTAAAACTCCACTTTTTAATGTTCAATAACTTTTTTGCTTCTATAATAATGTTATAGTGCTTACATCATAGTATCCAAACCAAGACAAGGTCTAAGTGGTGGTAATATGGAGTCTAAACTTGGGAACAAACATCAAATTTGCTTTCCCTTATGCCATAAGTCAGCTCGTATAATGATTAATACAGGATTTATATAGGTAGTGCTCAAATGCTATAAACCATTCAATAGATGGTTAACCACAGATAATTCAAATTATTCATTAACTAAATCTTTGCAACCATCTAATAGAAATTTGCTTAGCACTACTAAAAAAGACTTCATTACTTGAAGAGGTAGAACAGTTTTATTAGTTGTCAAAATTGTTATGCCAAGGCCATTTATCTATTTTTTTGGTGAGAGAAAGTATATGATAACATTTCTTAATAAGTATGAGCTTACACAGAGATGTCCCTCAAGGAACTTGGAAATAAGTAAAATGAACTTGTCCATGGAGAAGTAAATTGTAAAAGCAACAAGTAATGGATCAGAGAAGACATAACGCAATCACTGGAAAGAGACAGGACGGCTTATAGGCCATACATTTGGATTTAATTCTAATCCAGTTATACACACATATGCTTGCATACACACATACATGCACACCCATTCAAAAGGACTATGTCTATTAGAAAAGCAATTGGTCAGCATAAAAATAAGAAGAGTCAGAGAGGCAGCTGTTAGCAGTGCCTACTCAAACACCATAAGGTAGAGAAAAACTTAGC